CTATTCTTATGCGTGTAATTTTGAATTACTTGTCAGGTAAACTTAATTATATTCCAGGGTATGGTACATGTACATGCAGGCTTGATATAATCTTTTTTTTTAAAAAAAAAAAAAAAAAAAAAAAAAAAAAAGGGCGTAGCTTGCGCCTTTAGCATTCATTCTTTTCTTAAAAATGTTAAGTAGAGCTTATTTATGTTTTGATTTTATGGAAACCACAAGGTATGACCTATTCTTATGCGTGTATTTTTGAATTACTTGTCAGGTAAACTTAATTATATTCCTGGGTATGGTACATATACATGCAGGCTTGATATAATCTTTAGAACTTGTAAAGCAAGTTAATAATATCAGGTTTGATAAAAATGGGCTACCCTAATAGTATCTAAGTATTTAACATATGAGGTTAAACATAAGATAAGCATTCAATGTAAACCAATCCAACAATATATCTAATTATATTTAGGGGTTAGTACTTATCCGCTTTACCTCCCAAAAATTAAGAGGAAAAAGGACAAAAATCATCTTAAGGCATGCTTTAAAAATATTATAGTTTAGTCTTTTTTAATAAAAAAGTTATTGAAACGACGTAATTTTAAGATGATTTTCCTCATAATGTTTAGGAGGTAAGGCTGACAAGCACTTTTTCCTTATATTTAAACTAAATATTTTTTTCTTATTTTTTGAATGTCAGATTCTTTCCCTTGACAATATCAATAGATTAGATTTTTTTTTTTTTTTTTTTATAATCTAAAAGTATCACTGTGCATCACGTGTTCTGAAGCCCAAAATATGACTTTTTTCTTTTCTCTTGCTGTTAACTTTTTATTTTCATTCATCTCTTATGTATATTATTAACTAAAAATCGTGAGAGAAACTATCGGCTTCTCTCTCAATCTAAACAGAATCCCAACTACCTTTTCTTTTTTTTTTTTTGAAAAAGAATCCCAACTACTTAATATGCTACAAATTATTAACCACTCGAGTTCATCACGAAATCGAACGTTTTCAGCGCAAGGGCCGCGCTACTGCCAATTAAGACTAAAGATATTCTGATTTCAAAACATAAAAACAAACTACCTGCATATATATATTAGTCGAAGATAAGTCAATTGCAGTTCAAGTTTCTTCTTTTCAAATTGACAAGTGTGTGCGTGTTT